CATTTGGAGGACTAGGGAATTGTCATGGTAATGCAAACCTAATCAGGATAGGGCCTGTGTCACGGGTTGGGCTAGGTATCAATGCTTTCATTCATTTTTCTAATTTTGTTTCGTAGATCATTAAATTTTACTTTATTTTATTTTTTACATAGTTTACGATGAAGGAATGGAGGTCAAACTGTGTAGCAGCGGCCAAGAGGTATTGTGTGAATAATGAAACTATGGTTCAAATTTTATTTTATTTCCAGCTAGGGAGTAAGGAAGGTCCTTCGGATTTTAATTGGGAATACTTCCAGAATTGTAATTTTTTCAACATAATTAACAATATAGTAGTAACTAAGGTACTAAAAGCTTGCGACCAGGAGGTTATTAGGACTCTAAATTGTGACACTACACTGTACTACTCGTGAACTTTTAAGCACTTGATCGACTATTAGGGACAATCTTCCAATTGTAAACTGTGCATATATTTCCAAGACAAGAATGTTGTATTGTTCAACTGAAATTAGGAACTATCAATTACCCGTGGCGGAGGCAGGATCTCCGCGAAGGGGGTTCAAAAAACATATTTGCAACTAGTGAAAATTGAATCTATGACCTTTCAAAGATTTTGAACCCCTTGACCATTATGCTATACTTTTGGGTTGTGTCAAGGGGGTTCGAACCTTAATATATAGAGGAAAAAAAACAAATTTTGTCTTATATATACAGTTAATTTTTCGGCGAATGGGGTTCGGGTGAACCCCTTCCGCCCCCTAAATCCTCCCCTGTGACAATTACTCACTTCAAAAGCATTATTACTATGAAATAAGAGCTGTATATAATAGCAGATTCCAAGTATCTGGAACTCCAGAAACACACCAGTGGCTGCAGTCTAGTTGGCCACCTTGAACATACAAAGATGGATGTCCATCCTTTCTCAACTGAGTCAACAATGTAATATCAAGCAAAAATACCGGGAGGTATTTGCACACCTTTTAAAAAGGACAATTAATAGCTTTAGTTGTAACAATATTTGTCTCTCGTTAAATATCTCATTTAGTTCAGTGTTCTAAGAGGCGAAACGTTTTACCTTATACCGGGAGAACTATAAACCCTATTAATCTTTAATTTTTTAATATTCACAAGATTAAGAATCTCATACAAGTATCTAGCGTGTGTGTAAGTACAAACAATGCAATAGAGTTAAAATTATTATTATGAGATACATCAACTATAAATGTCTTACTATTCAAACAATTGAAATATCATAATTTTTGATTTTTTTTTATCAAACCGTACATTTTACCACTCTAAAAGTAAATAATCAATGAGATTTATCAGTACTGTAATTCAAAATATTACTCCTTTTTTTTATGGTAGGAATTTTAGGATTTTATTTTTTTTTTTACTTTTTTTTAAGTCTCTAGATCAGTTTGTGCACATCTCGATTAATTTTATGAGATGCCTGTTATTTTTCACCAGTAATATGTACCAAGTAAATCTGTCTATTAAAACTTGGACAGATGAAGATAAATAACCTACTTTTTAAAAAAGAAATTGTGTTAGATGTTTTAGCATGTAGATCACTTTTGACTCTTCGTAAGTATATTTATATGAGACAATTATAACTGCACTTCGTATATTTAATTTTTATTAAATTATAAATTGCAAAACATTTGGAGGACAATTTGAGAAAATTGAACGACCGGGGAATTATATTATCAAGTTGTTGTACACGCGCCAAACATAAGAATCCTAAGGTGTACGGTTTGGTTCCAAAAAGGAAGAGGAAATTAAGTGTGTAATTTTTTTTAAAAGTTTGATAAGCCGGAGGGTGCAGCAAAGTTTTAAAAAATATTGTCTAAGCAAAGATATATACGGTTTCCTTCTTACGCATTTTGAATGAATTATAGTTGAAATCAAATTCCTAATTATTATTTTAAGAAAAAGAATGAAAAGAACTCCTAAATATTAGGAAAATAATAAAATATTTGTTCTTGAATATTAGAAAAATAATTAAATATTACTTCCTAAATATTAGAAAAACAGTTAAATTACACTTTTATCTAATGTGAAGCCTATTTTTAAAGGCCAACAAAGGCGAACGACATTTTGTTAAGGGGTTTCGTGCTTTTAATATAGTATAGATTATATTTGTCATTTTTTTATTACAATTTAGACGGAATCGAGTGTTGACCAGGTATACTTAATAGTCACTTAAAGTGTTAAAATGGTAAACGAATCATTTGAGGTGTCTGTCTACTCTTTGAGGACAATTTAAAGAGGTCGTTTATATATCTCGCGATTAATCTAGAGAAATTTTCATAAAGAACTATAATTTAGAGCCTAGTACCTATAGTTTGCCTAATTATTATTCTTAACTACTGTTCAATTGTTACTAGCTTGTATCACTTGTATTCAAACGCACAACGAATACTCGCTCGCGCAATTGTATTCATTCGCGCAACAAATACAACACGTATCAATTGTAACCAAGGCGAATACAAGGATGTATACAAAGGATATAACTTGTATCGACTGTATACATGAGTGTATACAAAAGATACAACATGTATCGACTGTATTCATTCGGGCAACGAATACAATTAAGGCGAAATACAGAAAAATAAAAAGTTCTTGTTGAGAGTCAAACTCAAGAACTCCGCTAACTAAGCAGGCCCTTCAACCAATTGAGTTACGAGAATTGTTCTCTTATTTTAGTTCAAAACAATTAATCTCTTGTTTCATGGATATCAAATTCAAATAGAGCTACAGATGGTAAATTTGCTGAAAGTATAGCTACAAATTATTATAAATATAATATAAATGTTTGATGCGTTAGGTTATTTTCTCGTTAATCTATGTGTCACATGCGATATGAGGGACCACATACCCTAGGAGGCCCACTCTTTTCTAGGATCTTCCATCATGGGCAACTGGGCTAATGATCCAACCTTTTTTCTTTGGGGTTCTTTTTTTTTTTGGGGGGGAGGGTTGGGGGAGAGGGGGTGGACTGGGGTTACTAGAAAAGAGAAAGCACTTTGATATCTCAAATATTGGTGTTTTAGTTATCGTGTTACTTAGAGTAATTACGTTTAACTTTCCATTGATAGAATTCTGCAGCTTTGGTCTTGCCCAAAAAAAAAAGTGAGATTTCAACGACTTTTTTCTCAAACTATGGCGTAACGGTTACAAAATCAATTTTCTTAACTCATTATAATTGCTTGTCACAAGTCTAATAATTAATTATATACTATTATTCATTTAATTCATGAATTCTATTTTATCAAAATAAGAACTTTGAATTGACATCACCGTTTCCCGCAAAGGATAAAGTTGTTGAAGCTACGTTTTATTTTCCCATCAAATTTAGCCTTCAATGTTATGCAATCGTCAATGAAGAAAATCCATAATCAAGAAAAGTTGTCAAATTTAAACAAGCATATAGACTTTAATCATAGAAAATGGTTGCCAAATTTGTTCAAATTTTCTTACTTTGATAAGCAACTTGAGACATAAGCATTGAAGGAGTTGTACATATGACAAAGAGAGGGGGGAGAGAAACAAAGGAGTCTTTTTCAAGTCCATATTCCTTGACATACTTGTTTGAAATAATTCTTCGAATATCAGTGCCAGGATTTTGTTCTACAAGTAGTTAGATTTATCGGAGTGAGGCTTCCACGTCATACTAATCCTATTCCAATCTTTTTTTTCCCTCGTTCTTTTCTATGCTTGGAGTGTTTAACTATTCAGTATTTGAAATGTATTGTCTCAGCTAATTCAAATTCGCGTTATGTAGGACCTGTTAAAAGGACAAGTAGAAACATTTTATGCAGAAGTTTCTCCATTATAAATTCTCACGACTTTGAACCCGAAATCTCTAATTAAGTATGAGTAGATCATATTCATCCGACCAAACTCTTTTATATAATTCCATGCTAATGATACATAAAGAATTTGATCTTACTAGAAGACAGTGCCTAGCCATCTTATTAGTTACTAGCTTGTATTATGGATGATTAAGAGTTACTTGGTAGATTGTTATGTATACTTGAGTACATATATATATGTGTGTAATCTCAGCTAATTAAGCTAACTTATCCTTATTTTTAAGACTCGCAAGAATAGTTGATTCAATGAAGAAGTCATTTATGTATCTTACGAGTTACGAACGGCAACCCTTAACATGCCATATTCAAAAATTATATTTTAATCGTAATTTGGTTTTCCTCTTTGAGATCAAACTGGATGAATTGTGAAAGACTGAAAGGTAGTGGAAGGGGACCGCAACAAAGAATTTTTGTACTCTTAGACAGGAGTATAATTGAAAGGAAACAATCTTACAAAAGTGTCTCCTTCAAATTTAGAAAGCGACACTTTTATAGAAATCCCATCAACTGGACATTAATTATCATGCTCAGTAGTCAAGGGTCCTATCTGAAATCCATTTGATAAGAGTTGCAGCCAATCAGCAACAAGAAACTAGGATGAACTTTTCAAACCTAGCCAATTGAAAAATAGATAAGGCCACTATGGCTGGTCCCAAAAGTGCAGTGCCATGCCTTGTGGAAAACTTCCAAAAACTCTTAAAAGTGTGTCCAAAAAATTGAGAAAAGAAAAAGAATTTAGGATGTAATTTCCATATATGGATAATGTAAATTTTCTTCAGAGACAGGGTTAGGATTTAAAGCTTATGAAATTAGAATTTTTGTTTGTCTAAGTTACTGAATTTTAAAATAAAAATTTGTACATATTCAATAGATTTTTTAAGGCAAATATAAAGTTTGGACTAAAGCTAAGCTAAACTATACTCTAGTGCTGTCCTTGATTTTTCTTATACTATTAGATCACCAAAATAAGTGGAATAATTAAATTACAGTGCAAAAATTCTTTATCCTAACAACGTAACGTGTGTATAGTTAAATGCAATGCAAAAAAAAAGTTTAAACACTGTAAAAAGTGCATTTCGTGGGTCACTACGCTCCCACATTTCTTCAAATAATTTCACTTTCGACTGTATCTTTCTTGAATTCTCTTCAATTCCCTTCTATACATAGAGACCAAACTCGACATATTTCACTAACTCTCATCTTCACCTACTGTTTAATTCCTATACTTCAAATATCTCAAAATTTCAAAGAATATAATCTGAATTCTGAAACAATATATGTATGAATGACGAGTTCAGAGAAAAAAATAGCGAACGTCGTAGGTGCAAAGACGGCGAGAGCTTGTGACAGTTGTATAAGGAAAAGGGCACGTTGGTATTGTGCAGCAGACGATGCTTTCTTGTGTCAATCTTGTGATTCTTCTGTTCATTCAGCCAATCCTTTGGCCCGTAGGCACGAAAGGGTTCGTCTTAAAACATCATCTCTTAAATCATCAGATGAATTTTCCAACTCAGTTTCAGTGCCATCTTGGCACCGTGGATTTACTCGAAAAGCTCGAACACCAAGGAATGGTAAGAATTCAAGAAAAGTTAAAAACCCTATTCAACTCGTCGTCCCAGAGATATTAAGTGATGAGAATTCACAAGATGATAACGAAGAGCAACTCCTTTATCGTGTCCCTATTCTCGACCCCTTTGTAGCCGATGATGCTATTGGGAACGAATATTCTAAAGATCAGATGAAAAATGATTTTAATGATGATCATATGAGTAAGTTTAATGGGATGCTTAATATTCCATCTGAAATGGAGCTAGCAGAATTTGCAGCTGATGTTGAAAGTTTACTTGGGAGAAGACTTGATGATGAGGAGTCATTTAATTACATGGAATTAGGGTTAGGGTTTTTGGAGAAACATGATGATTCCATGGGTTGTTCTTTGGTTGATGAGAAAATTAAGGTTGAAAATGAAGGAGAAATGGAAGTTATAATCGATCGTAGTAGTTATAATCAAGTTGATTATTCAGATACGTTTGATCTCAAACTCGACTGTGATTCACCAATTATTACCTTAGAAGAAGATGACAAAGGTGATACAAAAAATAATAAGATTTTGCTAAATCTTGATTATGGAGGTGTTTTAAATGCTTGGGCTGACCAAAGGTCTCCTTGGACTACTGGTGAGAGGCCTGAAGTAGATTTCAACGACTGCTGGCCTGTATGCATGGTATACTTCTTTAATTCTCTCAATTTAAAATTTTATGTCGCAATTGTTAAAGTTGACATAGATTGAACATTAGTTTAATTTCTATACACTTAGCTATTAGAAGTAGAAATATTCTAGACAATATCATTCTTTCAACGCTCCTTGATATTTTGAAAAACGGTTTAATGCGTATTACCTGGAAAGGATGATAATTGACTAGTTACAACAAAGAATTTTTATACAATTACCAGTGTAGATAATTTAGATCTTTTTTATTATAACAACTTGCATAGTTTCTTCTTTGTTAATGCATGTGAAAAGAAGTACGACTAATTGGTTATTTACTATTCCTTGATCGAAATTTATGTGATATTTTTTGCTTATCGAGATTTGAGCCTCTTAGTTTTGACTTTAAATTTGCACATAGAATCTTTATAATTTTTGAGATGAAGTTTACATATTTGAAAACTACTAAAAAGTACTATAAGTCACAATAATTAATAATTTAAAATATTTAAAAGACATGAAAGAATTACAAGTCAAAAAAAGATTTGTTTGATTCTCGAAATCCGAAATGAAGAAATTTCCTCCCTATTTGCAGGACTATCTCAATTTTCATGAGCTAATTGCTTATAAATTGACCTATATTGGCAGGGAAATTGTGGAAAAAATCATCTATATGGAGACATGGGAACAATGACAGGACATGGACCAACAGTGGATGAAGGAAGAGAAGCAAGAGTATTAAGGTACAAGGAGAAGCGGCGGACGAGGTTGTTCTCCAAGAAAATAAGGTACGAAGTCAGAAAATTGAATGCTGAGAAGAGGCCTCGAATGAAAGGAAGATTTGTCAAGAGGACCAATTTTGCACCAACACCTTTTCCTTCGCTTAATAGATAATAATTGAAATTTTAAGTAGAGTCGGATCTGGAGCGGTTTTTGTGAGTTCAACAGAATTGATTACTGTACGCTCGAATTATGTGAGAATTTTTACAATGTATTCACATGCAAATCACGCTCATTCTGAATCTATCGACTCTAAAGCGTAGATTTTGTGGTTCGAAGGATTAGGTTTACACACTTTTTGTTTTTGTAGAACAAGTAAACTTGAGAAGTGCTTTGCTATGACAATTTTGTCATTTTGATGACTTTTGGGATGTATAGTCTCTAATTGTTCTTTTTTCATTATCGGAAAAGGTATAAGATGAAAAATGGCAGATGGTGAAAAGCTAATCAGTTTTCTGGCTTCTTGAAATTACTGTTAGATATTACACAGTGGCAAAAGAAATTACTTTCTCTTCCTTTATTTGGTCTTATACAAAAATTATATTGTACTAACACATAGAAGTAAATGAAAACCCAACTTGATATGCTGAGCTACCAGTTGGAATAAAACTCAGAGTTCCTTTGCAATTATGATGTAAGAATTTTGCGCTCTAGACTTCGCATCATAATCAATTATATGACTTTCACAAGATATTTATACTTAAGTAAATTCATTATTCAAGAAGATAAACCTGAATTCATGATCTTTCTTGATCTGTCAAAACTTCAAGAAAATGGTGTCTCATCCTTTCGGTGTTTCTCATTTATGCTTATGATTGAATAACGTGAATTTCCACTTAGAGAGATGATCGGTCTGTATAAAGGCTCTTTTATTTTTCATTTTTCATCAAATTGGGAAGTTAACTAACCATTATATCAAAAACTACCCTTCAAGTTTTGATCAATGCGCTTTAGTCCTTACAACAACATCAACATACACAATGTAATCCCACAAGGGTCTAGGGAGGGTAGTGTGTACACAACTTTATGCCTACCTTGTACAGGTGGAGATGTTGTTTCTGATAGACAGACCCTCAGCTCAAAGCAAGCATGCATAATCAATCATAACGGAATACAGAAAGACACGCAGTAGTGAAAAAAGTCAAAAAGCAGTAACACCAACAAGATAATAGAAAAATAAGAATAAAAGTAACCATGCAGTAATAGAAATCTAGGAATATGAAAATTCGAGGATAACATTAGTGCTACTTAAATGAAAGGAAAGATACTCGACTACCTACTACTATTCTATCCTAATTCTCGACCTCCACATCCTTCTATCAAGGATCATATCCTCGGTAAGCTGATGATGCGCCATGTCGCGCAGTCCCTAATCACCTCTCCCCAATACTTCTTCGGCCTACATCTAGCTCTTTTGAGACCTACCATTGTTAATTTCTCACACCTACTCATTGGGGCATCCGAGCATCTCCTCTTAACATGCCCAAACCATCCCAATCTCACTTCCTGCATCTCTCCACCACGGAGGACATACCTACCTTGTCCCGAATTTCATCATTCCTGACCATTTCTCTCCTGGTATGCCCACACATCCATCTCAACATCTTCATCTCCATTACTTTCATCTTCTGGATATGAGAGTTTTTGACTGATTAATACTCTGCCCCATATATATAGTCCATCTAACGACTATTTTGTAGAACTTACCGCTAAGTCTTAGGGACACGTTCTTATCATACAAGACACCAGATGCTAGCCTTCATTTCATCCACCATGCTCCAATATGATATGTAACATCTACATCGATCTCCCCATTGTCTTTGATTACTGACCTAATGTACTTGAAAATTTATCTTTTAGGAATGGCTTATGAATCGAGCCTCACTTCCACGTCAGCCTCTTGAGTAACGTCACTGAAACTTGCACTCCACTTATTCTGTCTTAGTCCTGCTAAACCTAAAACCTTTAGACTCCAGGGTCTTTCTTCAAACCTCCAACCTAGCATTAACTCTGTCTCGTGTCTCGTCAACCAGTACTATGCTATCTATAATAACATGCACCATGGCCCCTCTCCTGGAATGTGGCATGTCAATACATCTATCGTCAAACCAAATAGAAACGAGCTAAGACTTGATCCCTGATGTAACCTCATCATTACTGAGAAGTGACATGATTCTTCTCCCACTATTCTAATCCGAGTCTTAACTCCATCATACACATCCTTAATCACCCTAATGTCGCTACAAAAACACTTTTAGCCTCCAAACATCTTCATAAAACCTCACTCGGGACTTTGTCGTAAGCTTTTTCTAGGTGAATGAATACCATATGCAAGTCTCTCTTTCTACTCGTATATTGCTCCCCCAATCTCCTCACAAGATGGGCGGCTTCCATGGTCGATCGCCAGGCATGAATCCAAGCTAGTTCTCGAAAATAGACACATTCCCCCTTATCTGCATCTCTACCACTCTCCCATACTTTCATTGTGTGTTTTAGCAGCTTGATACCCCTATAGTTATTATGCTCTTTAGTCCTTATATTTATTAGATACAATTTAGAGGCTGGTTAGTTGATTAAAGCCAACTGAACAATATTAAGTAATGAAAAGCATTTTTAGGCGTTGAAATCGATCTTATAAATAAATAGTTATATGGTTGATAAAAGTGTTGAATAAATAATAAGCATTTGGTGTATTTAATATAAAATCTATCTAAAAAATATAGATTTAAAAGTATTTTAAAATTATTTTTACATGGAGAAAAACAAAATATAAAAATTGAAAGAAGAGTTGATTAGGGATTTTGTTTAGGAAAAGGTATTTGGGGAATTATAAAATATTAAGGGTAAAATAGTAAAAGATTTGGTCAAACTAAAAGTGCTTATAATTTTTCGAGGATGTCCAACTTATGACTTTTAACTTTGTTTAATTTGTAAGTACTTGACAGATAAATACTTTCAATATTACCAAAATTTACATAATCGAAAACTAGAATAAATGTAAAATGTAGTTCCAAAATAAAGATTCACGCGGGCATATCTTAATGATATTAGATAATGGTTTCCATGCTTTCTTTGTCAGGTTGATAATTTGCAATAATAAGATTAACTTTGTGATTACACGGAACGACCGCTATGAACTACATGTCTAAATTTTCTTATAACGAACGGCTGAATAATTACACATGAGAATGTAAAAGTAGGTGCGTTAATGTGATACAGTTTTTATTTTAGCCTGTCTACAAAAATAGTACTATCTTTTTATAATAAAAACAATTTAATTTTAAGTTTTTTCGTATTTTGGCCAGAAATTTCAAATGTCTTTGTTTCTAAAATTTTATGTCCATCAAAATGTATCACATATAATAGGGCGTAAGGAGTAGTGTAGAGTGAAATTGCAATACGCTTATGGACGTAAAAGTCTTTTAGAAGTTTTTATAAAGAATTCAAATATCAATTGTCTATTTGGAAATATTTTAAGTTTGTATTTATCTGAACATCTAGTTGGAGAAGATAGAATTTGATGGACAGAACGATTGATAGAACTTGACCTATTACTAATTTCAGATCTTGGCATTTTCTCACTAGTCACGAGTATACGTGGTTGACGTGCTTAAATGGTCCCTACTAGTTTCAGAAGTTTTTTCCGATTTTATTTTTATTTAGTTTTTTGTACCAGGATAAAATAGAAAATAAATAATCAATAGCACCATCACATTAGTGTGATCTTTTGTTGCTCCCAAACGCACACGCAAATATACATGATCGTACAAGTAATATATGATTGTAAGTCCAGATATCGCACCCACAGGGACTTGTGTTTAACTATCAACTAATTAAACTAAGAAAATTAATCTAATCAAGTGATTTTCTAGAGTATGAATATTTAACTAAAACTAATTTAGAGTAACAAATTAAGAGATTAAAGGAAACAAGTTGGAAATATTAGAGACGAATTCAATGAGAGACAATATTCTAGAGCTATGGGTTAGCTAACAACCCCGTTGAGTTTTTCACTTAAATCGTCTAATTAATTTATCTGGTTTATTGATTCACAGAGTTAATATTGCTCGTAGCCTTCTCCAGAATTACTACTCTTCTATTCAAGCTAACCTAACACCTATATTACTATGGAATTAGGATTAACAAGAACGCATTAATAATTCATGTATAATAACCAAGCAAGGCGATTAGGTATATCCTTATCCTAACCGCAAATCCGTTCCCGATGCTCGAGTTTAAGATCTTGCTCTACTCAATCTTATATGCAATCTAGAATTCTCTCTCCTGAGTTCAATCCTAGATTCGTAGATAGTATTTATTTGGTGATCAAATAATCAAATAATTAAGCGCAAGATTGAATAAATAAATCAATATAATAAAATAATAAGAACAATTCAAGCTTCAAACTACAACGTTCATGTAGCACCCAAAACACTATAACTAATAAACTATGAGATTAAAGGAAGGAAAGAGAAGAAAAACTAGTTAGAAGTCTCCTCCAAGCGTGGTGTGTGTTCTTCCACGTGAATTCTCCTTCAAAGTATGTTAGATCCCCTCCAAATTAGGTTTAGAACCCCTTTTATATGAGTTGGGACCGTGTAGCACCGAAATAAACTTGTCCCAGTCAAAATAGGAGAATCCCGCTACTAGCATCCAGACCAGAGCTGTCACGACCCAAAATCCATTAAGGTCGTGATGGCGCCGGACACTACTGTCAAGCAAGCCAACAATGCAAACTTCACTTAATTACCCATTTTAGTATTTTTGAAATCAGAATTTTTTTCAATGAAATAATAAAAATAAAACTCATAGTGTAAATGATAAATATTTTTAGCAACTAAATTTCTAAACAATTCACAACCATTCCCAAAATTCGGTGTCACAAGTGCATGAGCATTTATTAGGGAATTAAAAATAAAATACAACATCTGTCCAGAATACAAATTAGGCAGGAAAATATAATAACTCTGAAGGAGACTCTGTTAGCTACGGATCGTAATATAGAATGCAGCTCACCTATGTCCCCACAATTATTAACAACACCTCTGCGCCCACAAGGCCGCTATACATATATGTACCTGCACAATAAAATGTGCAGCAAGTACATTATGAGTACGAAAACAACGTGTACCCAGTAAGTATCAAGCTTTATCTCGAAGTGGTAGAGACGAGATAGCCAACTTTGACACTCACTATGGGTCAATAATAATAATTAGAATAAATTATAATTATTCAAATCAGCCTGATCCACAGAGTTAACAATAATTTTATTCAATTAGCAGAAAATAATAAAAATCCTTCAAATGCAACAATTTTCCAATTTATTAATTAAATCATACAATTTCAATAAAACTTCCAATTTATCAAATAGCTTTACAAGCTGCAATTCAATTTCAATAAATTTTTAATTTATCAATTAAATCTCATTTATAGGAATAACAATTTAA